CCGAAAATATAGAATACAAATTTTTCGTTCGAGGCTTTGTTTTCGAGAAAATCGACTTTGAACTTTCGCTCGGTACGCGTGCACTTTATCGCGTCTCGTTATAACGGATCTCACTGTAGATCGTTGTTTCGATGAAAAAATTACAAAAAAATAAAAATTTGTATTCTACATTTTCGACTTGTTTTTTCGCGTAGAATCACCCCCTTTCCGCTTGTACCACCAGTTACCAACCATCCTGTATATTGTCAATATTTCCAGGTTCTCAATTAAAAGGATCAATACGTATCGTCGATTATGAAATATATATGAATTAATTATACAACTGTATAATCATAAAATAGATGTATAATCATATAATAGACATTTACAACTACAAATAAAATCTAGTATAAACTAAATAATAATATCTATTCCTCGACGTCTAGTTCGACTAAATAAATTTCTAATACTCTCGGATAAATAGGTGCGTATCTTGGAACGTTTTAAAATTGTACGCGGAGACAACAAGCGAATAACGCGATAAAAGTCATACTTTGTAATGGAATGTTGGAATACAACGATATTACACACGAATAATCTTATACAGACACCTACACAGGCATTTGAACAGGACACTTACACAGGTCATACTCGCTACTGTATGGAGAGTGGGGTTCAAAATCTTTTAAGGGACCATGGGTCACTACGTACGGTCAGTCTGAGATTAACTGGCCAACTGTCAACGATCCATAAATTCTTTACCTGCACACTTTGTTAATTATACCATATCGCTCACTTAACACGTTGACCGCCACGACACCCGTATTCGGGTGTCAGCAAAGTTTCTGGTCAGGCCGCGTAACCCATATTCGGATGTCGCTTATTCGACTACTTGCGAAGGATCGTCGTAGGTATTTGAAAAGATATTCCATAATAATAAATTGTTAATTAATAATTAATTGTAATAATAGTTGAATTGTTATAAAATAAAAATACGAAAATGGTTTATTAAAAATATTATTTAGAATGTAAAACTTCTCTGCCTTTGTTCGGTCCATTCGACGTCTTTTATTCGCATAACATAGTTCGCACGCGCGTCTAATGCTTCTTCCGGAATCGTTTTTATGAATACGATATTATGAAGACAAGAATTTTTTGTATTTTTAGACAACCTTGATAATTTTGCGACTAACGACTGTCTAAATATTCTAACATTTATATCTTCCCTTGTCGCAATTTTGTAAACCGTCAAAGCGTTTGCAACAGGAATTCGCAGAAGGAATCGAATGCCAAGTTTTCCGTACCATTTGATTCCTTTTCTAATCGTGGTGGCGTAAGAAACCATTTGGTCGGAATAATCTGTACCACACTTTCCTTCGTTATATTCGACAACAGCAAGTGGTTTTTAACGTTGCGAACAAACGAAACGAAAGATCATTCTTGAGACTACCACTCGAGCGATTCGCATTACTAAAATATCGATGGGTGCACCTAGCAGAGAACGCTCGATACTGCCGTACGCGTGGTCTGACGGAGATTTCTTTGAAAACGCGCGTGGCAGTGAACGCGTTAAATTCTAACATGGGGAAATCGTAGAACTCGATATGCCATCGATTAATTTCCATGTTACCAAAGCTGTCTTTTTATTCGCTTTGAAAAATACCGTACGCGTTTTATGTATTTTTGCTTCTTTAAATTTTTCCTAAATGCACGAACATTCGCAGCCTATTCGCGAGATTAGCTTCGTTAGATCTTTGCAAAATTCCATAGGCTTATCGCTACGTCGTTACGTGGATACGAGACGGCACGCATAAAATCCTAAAGACAAGTAGTTCTTCGATTTATTTTCGCGAACGTACGAAAATTTTCGATGTAGAATCGTCGTTATCGTAGATCGTGTCGGCAGCCTGGAGAATTTAGAAAACTCGAATTGCCTCTCTTCTCGCGCAAACGAACTGATATTCTAGGCGCGGCCAGCTTCGTTAGTCGATCGTCGATCTCGATGAAAACTCCTCACGGTTAGTTACACCGACGCTTTCTGCACACCGCTGCTTTCCCAATCAACACTCCCCACCCGAAATGTTCACGCTGTGAATCTTCTAAAAAGGGGCACCATCTCTGCATTCTGCTCTTGCGAAATTTTGTTCGATACTCTCCCAAGGAAACGGAGAAATTAATTGAAATTTTTCCTGATACTGCCGCTTTTCAATAACGCATAGAAAAGATAATCAGTCTTTATCATTATTAGAAACCCAACGAATGGAATATTTCTTGATTTTGGGATTTTTATGTCGCTGAAGGTGGTGCAAGGATACGTTACCGCTTAACCTGTTAACTGCGGAGTTTAGTTTCAAAAATCCTTTACAGGCTGCGCAGATAAAATGAAGCGACGACGAGTATATACGTCGATGGCGAGGTAAATGCCCCCGTTATAAATTTTACGAAAAATAAAGCGAAACGACGAAGGAAACAATTAACAATTCATCGTTGAAAAATGGTATTGTTATTAAAGACTTGACAATTGCGAAAAAGTAATAAAGTAAAACGCGCAAAACGACTCGGGGAGTAGTCGACGCATCGAGGAAAATAATCGAATCGATTTATAAAAAGCAATATATTATACAGAGGATAATCGATATACCGAAGAGAATATAATCGAACGATCGAACTTTCATTTTTCAAACTCTTTTCGTCTTAAATAAAATACACGATAGTTTCACGATAGTATAAAGAAAACATACCGCTAAATGTCATTTACGTTACTTTTTACTAAAATTAAATGGTAAATAAAAATTAAATGGTTTTCGTAGTAAATGGTAATTGTTTATTTCGAACGACGCGTATACTCGTTGAACTCGGTTAACTAGTTGAAAGTGGATAGGAAATTCAACGAGCCCTGTGCAAAGCAGAATAACTAATTGCCGTGGAATGGAAAAGAAAACGAAGTTTCTTATGCCAAGCCAGCTGCGCAACGATAAACGACAAACGACGTATTCCGTTCGAAACGGTTGTCGCAACAGCTCGATCTCGCTCGCCGAGTCTCGAACCGCGGTTCGACGCGGAGAAGAAAGGAGCATCGGAAGGATCGATCGATTCGAAAATCCGTAGCATTTGCATCGGCGCGGTTAATCTCGGGGACGTGGCACTCGGTGGTCGCCGGTGAAATCACGAGACAGGTTCGGAAACTTGGAAAGATGGCGTCGATTCTCTCCCACGGCGCCAATATAACGCCTGCTTGGCTCGCGCCCGCCACCGCTGCCGCCTCCGGTATAACATAATGGCACAGGAAGAGAATGCGTTTGACTCGCGATCCAACACGACCCTGGAATTCGAAGAGTTCCACGTACGAGCGACCAAACATCCCCAGTATTCTTCGCGGAAAGCATAAACTGCTCGACGAGCGTTGTTTATCGTTCGCAGTTTACCTACGCCAGGTTTACGCGTGCTTCGGGCCCCCTCTCCATCTCTGAATACCGGAGAGATTTTCAGAAAAAGAAACTCGAGGAAACACTTGCTTCGTTGAGAGAAACGAATACTACGCGTATATCGCGATATCGTAATGGTCGAGAGAGTGAGAAAGGAAATGGAGATTCAAGATCTCGCGATTCGATCTACGCTTGGCAAAATTCCATTTTATTGGACGAACGCCGGATAGCTGCAGGCACGGACGATCCTACGCCGAGGTATAATCGTTGGACACACAGAGAGAGACGATATATGTACGTGTATCGCTCTGCTTGTTCTTAACTCTTCTCGATGTTAATCAACTTATCGGTAATCCGTCGACGAAAGAAAGTTTGCGGAAAATCGCACGAACGAGCAATTGGAAGTTAAATAAAGTTACGTTAGGCGAAAACTTTTCTATCGATGGACGTGGAACGACCGATCTTAGTATCGAGGTAACGTCGCAACGAGCAAGCTGTAGGTAAGTAGGACAGTCAAAAATGTCGTAACCTTGAAATACTCTCATTGACGAGGAATAGTAGTAGGTACGGTGCCACGGGTTATACGGCGAAGTTTACGTTTCGCAAGTTCTCCTATGCACTGCAGCGTACCGTCATAAACAGGCACATAACCATTCGGGACGAAGCGCGTTGAACACGAGTCTCGCGCGATGAGGAGCACGGATCTCATAGACTCGAACTGTGACGCGAAACTGCTCTTTCTTTCTTAGCTTAAGTACTGATTATCAAGCACGTTTGTCGCATTGCTTTTTATTTTCATCCTTTTACGCGAGTACTTCGTTACTAAGACGTTCGTTTATTACGCTGGTCGCTTGAAACCTAACGACGAAGAAGCGAGTCGCATCGAGTATACGTTCATTACGAAGAAATTAAAAAAAAAAACACACGAGACTTTTGCTTTATGATACGCAAAATAATCGGAGGAAATATTCTCCTAACGAAAATTACCCATTTTGCTTAGTAAAAGTTCGAATAAGTACCGCATTCTGCTCTACGATCGATGTTTATAAAATTATATTATGTTTACGCGATATTTTTACATTTATATCGTCCGACTATATTACATTTCTATAATTATATCTTTTTTATACGCGTGTCTCTCTTTTTCATCGTCGCAACGACCTTCCATAGATCATTTTCGTCTCATTTTAACACGCAAATGCACGGGTCGTACCATCGCATCGTAATACTTAATATGTATACGTATAGAAAGATCGAGGCGTCCGTGTCGTTTGTCGGTGGTACGCGAGACGTTGATTTAGATGAGCGTGATTTCCGAGTTGGCTACTTGTTGTCCGAGTGGAGAGATGCGATTGGTGCGTGCGCTGGACTAGACGGAAGGTGCGCGAATCTGATTCCCTTTTGCTCCTTCCCTTCGACGATTTCGCCCCGTCTCTGTCCGACGGTTGCCTCGCAGAAAGTCGCCACTAATGACACAAAGAGGAATGCTGTCCGGTCTCCGCACGAGCACCTCGGTAGCCATTTGTAATTCGTGGTGAGAAAAAGTCGCGAAAAAATCGCGAAAAAGTCGAATGAAAGTGCGATGACGGAGGTGGAAGCAACGTTGGCTACTTGCAATTAGCGATGCATGCTGCCAGCTATAATTAAAATCGTACGCCACTCCTTCTGTCTGTCTTTCCTTCTCTCGTCCGCGTAGCTCGCGTAGTTCGCTGATTTTCAGATTCCTTCTTGGCCACCTCCCCTTTGTCACTGTTCCAATTCAATTACCAGGGAAAAGTCGTCCAGAGTTCATTAGAGTAATGATCGAGTTACATGATTCATTGCTTCGACAGATGCGGCCCCGAGTCGACCAGTCTCTTTCTCCGGTTCTTCTTCACTCGAGGTTAATTTAATTAAGGCGTTGTTCGTTCGAGATGAGTAATCTGGCCGAGGCTATTGTTTCGCGTATTTGTTGCGCTTATTCTCTGCTAAATTCGCTACCTTCTTCTTTCGGTATTTCTATCTTTTCGTCGAACAACGATATAAATGCATCGCGAAAAAGCTCGATGGCTCGTTGCAGAGGGATACGAGCGGAGTAAAACTTTCCAAGTACAAATTCACGCGTTTCTTCCCTCGAAAATTAAAGGCGTACGGTATCGAATTATTTTCCTCGTCGACGACAACAGCTAAATAATTATCTTTAAATCTATTCTACTCTGGATCGGTCTAAGAAATTGTCACGCTTAACGAAATATCCGTCTCTAAAAGAAGAAATACTTGTTCTTGTAACGACGATCCAACAAAAATTCCTTTTAACGTTGTCCAACAAATTTCTTAACATTTCCCATTCTATCTTGCAATTATACGCATTTCGTTGCCTTCTTACGTTGCGTCTTCGAACGAACACCGTATTACATACTTGCAAAGCGATTTAAAAACTTAAGCTCGAAATACGAGCGATAGGACGAGAAGATAGAGGCAAAAGATACGAAAGAAGCAAGAGAAAAGAAGAGATTGGGAAATCAGAGATAGCCAAGGCCCTATGGACCTCGACGATGACAGAGTCGACAGAATATTACAGAGGTTTGCCGGGAGTTAATTCCCCGGGGCCGAGAAGGGACTGTTTTAATTAGAGAATCTAATTGATGGCCGCGTACGGTGCGGCTGCCGAGCAATCCATAAACGACTTCTTAGGGCCGCGCACCTGGGCACCACGGCGTTAATTACTCTCCTTCTGTGGCCGGGTCCTTCCATCTCACCATTCCCCACCTACCTTCTTCTTCTTCTTCGTCGTTCTCCTCGTTTTTTCCAGGTCTCTTGACTTGCGAGTCTGAAAGAGGAACAGGGAATAATGGGGTGGGAGAGCAGGAAAAAAAGACGTACAAAAAAATAAAGAGTGCGAGAGAGGAAAACGGACGATTGCCTGGTGAGGAAAAAAGAAGGCATGCGTATAAAGAAAAAGAGAAGAGGGAGAGAGAGAGAGAGAGAGAGAGGAAGGCGGAAGGTAGAGGCAAGGTGAGGGAGAGAAAGCAACAAGTGTCCCCCGTCGCGAGGCGCAAAAGCATTCCTAATTACGCCCCTGCCCTTGGAGCGAAACGAGACAAAAAGCGCGTTGATTACATTTTCGTATAATTTCATCGGTCGGCGCTCGCCATTAAGAGCCACCACCGCGCGCAAATTAGATCGATTCCTTAATGCCCCGGGCCGCGTAATTGGTTCTCATTCTCGGAAGCTGACGGTGAAATCGGATATCTGTCGTGTACCACAGCCACACCGAGCCAGACTGTGCCGGTGCTGCCGGTGTTGCTGGTGTTGCTGGCGTTGCTTGGTGCTTAGTGGTAGTGGCATGGTATATACATAGCGACGG